TAAGGGGGAAAAGAGAGAGAGAGAGAGAGAGAGAGAAAAGGGAAGATTTGTATAAAGGATTACGAAAACTACTAATTAGTATAAATAATTAACTATTCGACAATTAGATTGAATGTTCAATAATAAATCTAAATGAAGCCAAAATGAATTGTTAATAAACTTTCAATCTTACTCATAGGTGTATGCGTGATCAATTTTTAAATCTGACTTTTCGTTCGATTCGTCGTGATCATCGTGATAAATCGACAATCGTTTCTTTTCTTTCTTTCGCGGCCTGGGCAAATTTTATTCATCTTTTCGTTTCATCTTCTTAAAATTCTAAAAAAAAAACCTTAAAATTGTACACTATTTTCGAAAGTTTCTTATTTTTACGTTGAATCGTTGAAAAAAAAAAAAAAAGAAGAGAGAAGAAAAACACGACACACAACACTTTTCATCGAGGAAAACACGAGATTAAGAGATTGATATTTTTATTTGATACAGAAAAATAAATCGGATACTTTTGTTTGTTGAAAAAAGGAAAAAAAAAAATTGTTTCTCAATCGAGGAGAAAAATTCGGGTACAGATAGTTTGTAAGCGTATTCCGGAATATTTGAGATTATCTATATTGAATACGAATTCGTTGTATAGAGAGCGAACGGGGATTTGGTGAGAGGAAAAAAGAAAGAAAGAGAGGGGAGAATTCTGTAAAATATTATAATTAACGAAATCTAAGCAAGAAGTAATCCGAACACCATTTATGAGTAAGAGCATAATTGACGAACGATATAATAAACGTAATAAAGACATATCATAAAAAAGTATTAGTTTAATTGCCTGATATTGTAGAATTTATATGTAAATATGTTGCGTGCAACTTGGAACAACGTTCTGAGGCGATGTAAAGTTTAATGAATTATTTGAAAAGGTGTAGAGAAAAATGAGGAGAAAGGAAGAAAAAGAGAGAGGGAAAAACGAAGGAGGAAAGAAAGTAAAAGGGACGACCGTTATGGTTAATTAATCCACGTTTCCTCGTTTAATTCGTGTAAAGCTTTCCATTCGATTCTATTCGTCGTAGAACAGTTTCGTCAATTTGTATATAATCGAAGAAGAACCTTAAATGTCCTTTGTAAATTGTTATGTAATAATTGACTACGCACTAGTTAAATTTCTATTATTCGCTTCTCGAGTATATGCATTTATACTCTACGTACGTATCGATTTGATTGACGGCGCGTTTACGTCGCGTGAAATGAAAGTGAATCGTCGCGTTTTATGGTGCAGAGAATTTTTCTAAAATTCTGTCGATCTATAGTGTACGATAATTTCTACGATACGATCGGGATTTCTCATTTCTTCAAGAACGAATTCGAATAATTTTAATTCGATCTCGATTCGAGACTCTTCGGAGAGTCGAAAAGAAAGAAAGAAAGAAAGAAAGAAAGAAAGAAAGAAAGAAAGAAAAACGAATCGGTGAACAAATTTGTAGATTACTAGTGTAAAGAGAAAGCTTAAAGGTAAAGAGGCGAAAAAAATTTTTTCTTAAAAAAAGGGAAACGAAAACGACTAGGTGAAAAATGTTTCTTAAAATGCACACATACATACGCATACACATACATATATACACAT